GGGGGGGGGGGGGGGGTGGGAGGGCGGGGGGGGGGTGGGGGGGGGGGGGGGGAGGTGGGGTGGGGGCGGGGGGAGGGGGGGGGGGCGGGGGGGGAGGTTGGGGTGGGTGGGGGCGGCCGTGGGTTGGGTGGCCGTTGGGTGGCGGCGGGGGGGGCCGGGGTGGGGGGGGGGGGGGGGGGGTAGGGGGGTGGTGGCGGTCTGCGGGCAGGGGTGGCGGTGCGGGGGGGGGGGGGGGTGGGCGTGGGCGGGGGAGGGGGTGGGTGGGGGGGGTTGGGGGGGCGGGGGGGGGTGCGGGGGGGGGGGGGGGTGGTGGGGGGGGGGGGGGGCGGGGGGGGGGCGGGGGGGGGGGGGGGGGGGGGGTTGGGTGGGGAGGGGGGAGGTTGGTGGGGTGGGGGGGGGGGGGTGGGGTGGGGGGGGTGGGGTGGGGGGGGGGGGGGTGGTGGTGGGGCGCGGTGGGCGGGGGGGTGAGGGGAGTGGGGGGTGGGTGTCCGCGGGGGGGGGTGGTGGGGGCGGGGGGGGGGGGGGGGGGGGGGCGGGGGGGGGGGGGGGGGGGGGGAGGGGGGAGGTGGGGTGGGGGGTGGGGGGGTGGGGGGGGGGGTGGGGGGGGAGGGGGGGGGGGTGGGGGGCGGGGGGGGGGGTGTGGGGGGGGGGTCGGGGGGTGGGGGGGGGGGGGGGGGGGGGGTGGGTTGGGGGGGAGGGGGGGGGGACTGGTCGGGGTGGAGGTAGTTGGGCGAGGGGTGAGGGGGGGTGGGGGGGGGGGGGGGGGGGCGGGGGGTGGGGTAAGGGGGAGGGGGGGAGGAGGGGGTGGAGTGGGGGGGGGGGGGGTGTGGGGGCGGGGCGCGGAGGGGGGGGAGGTCGAGGGGGGGGGGGGGTGGGTGGGGTGGGGGGGGGGAGAGGGGGGGGGGGGGGGGGGGGGGTGGGTGCGTGGGGGGTGGGGGCGGTTAGGGGGTGGGGATGGGGGGGGGGGGGGGGGTGGGTCGAGGGGGCAGCGGGTGGGGGGGGGTGTGCGGGTGGGGGGGGGCGGGGGGGGACGGGGGTGGGGGGAGTAGGGGCGGTGGGGGGTTGGGTGGGGGGGGGGGGGGGGGGGTGGGGGGCATGGGGGGGGGGGGCGGGGGGTTGTGGGGGGGTGGGTATGGGGGGGGGGGGGGGGGGTGGGGGGGGGGGGGTGGGGGGGTGGTGGGGGGGGCGGGGGGGGGGGGGGGTGGGCGGGGGGGGGGGGCGGCGTGGGGGGGTGGGAGGGGATGGGGTGGGGGGGGGGGACGCGGGGGGGGCGGGGGCGAGTGGGGGGGGGGGGGGGGGTGGGGTGCGATGTGGGGGGGGGGGGGGTGAGGGTGGCGGGGGGGGGGCGGGGAGGGGAGGGGGGCTGTGGGGGGGTGGGCGTGGGGGGGGTGGGGGTTGGTTGGGTGGGGGGGGTGGGGGGGCGGGGGGGGTGGTGGGAGGGGGGGTGGGGGGGGGGGGGAGGGGGGGGCGGCGGCGTGGTGGTGGGGGGGGGGGGGGGGGGGGCGGGTAGGGGGGGAGGGAGGGGGGTGAGGGGGGGGGGCGGGGGGGGGGGAGTTGGGGGGGGGGGGGGGGGTGGGGGGCCGTGGGGGGCCGGGCGGGGGGGGGGCGGGGGGGCGGGGGTTGGGGGGGGTGGGGGGGGGGGGGGGGGGTTGGGGTGGATGTGGGGGGGGGGGGGGTGGGGGGTGGTGGGGGTGGGGGGTGGGGGGGGTGGGGGGGGTGGGGGGGGTTGGGTGGGGGGGGGTGGTGGGGGTGTGGGTAACTGTGGTGTTTGGCAAAGTGGCATGTATCCACAAAACAAAATTATCATCAGATTTGAATATGCGAAAACTCCACATATGTGCTTCATTGTTCTTGTCTGGGGGTCTAGTCTAAGGTGCACCGGTTAATCTCAACACTTTACAAGAGAAAACACTTTTGAGATATTGTTTGAATAGATTTAGGTAAAAGATTGGAGGATAATAGAGCCATCCATGATTTAGCATATCCAATCGTCCTCAAAGTATGATTTTCCTTGATCTGACAATGCTTAGAAGAAAAAGTTAGGCTGCAATTCATTATCCTTGCTAAGGTCTTTGCACAGATATCAAAATTAAAACAGAAATCTGGTATCTAGAGAACATTGAAAATAGTAAAAATCTTGGCAAATTGTACAGTTCCAGCATGTTCAGCAATCAGCTATAGTATTATTTGGTAGTTTATAGAAATAGGCTTGATCTTGAGAAGGTAATAAAATTGTTTTTACTGTGAGTAACCATTGGTCAGTAGCACCAGTATCAACAATCCAAGAAAAAATACCTCGTTCATTCTCAGTTTCATTTCTTTGAACCTGATTGATGTTGTGTGTGGGGGTTTCATCTATTTGTCTATCATTTTGAGGAGTTTTTGCATCTGTTTCTGGCGTGAGAGACTGAAATTGTTTCATTACGACTTTTTGAAATTTTCTGGGTTTCTTCAGAATCAGTGTTGTTCGGACAAGCATTGGCACTTGACCATTCTTTCTTTGTCTTCCTTCTTGTACCAAGAGGATATCCGTGTTTGGAATAACATTCGTCTATGGTATGATTCATTTTGTTACAGTAAGAAACATTGTTTCCCATAATTGGGATTTCTTCCCCTTCCTCTGCCTTGACCACGGAAAACAGTTCCCCTTCCTTGGTTCTCAGCGCTTCTTCCTTGATTTTTCCAATTCTGATCAGGTTTCCATTGACCATTTCTTCCTGCAACATTAGCTAGAGTCTTAGCCTCTGTGGAGATTTGTTTTTCTTGCCTTTCTTGTTGGATAATGAGAGAAAAGACACGGTTAACATTGGGAAGAGGATCCATCAAGAGTATCTGTGTCTTGACAGTGTTGTAAGAGTCGTTTAAACCTTTTAGAAAGCATATTACATGCTCAGCTTCTCTGTATTTCAAAGAAATTCTGGACAAATCGCAGCTGCATGGAGTGGCACAAGTGAAGTGGGTATAGGACTTAAAGACTCAAGTTCTTCCCACAATATCTTTAAATCTGTGAAAAAAAATTGACTCACCCCCCTATCACCTTGTCGAAAGAATGTATTTCTTGCAATAGGTCAGAGATTTTGAAGTAATCTCCCTTAGAGAACCTTTCTTTGAGTTCATCCCATAGCTCTTTCGCCTCCTCAATGTAAATCACACTATCGGCAATGTGGGGGCGAACAAAGTTTTAGTTTATCCAGGACAAAAATCATAACATTGCATCTTTCCCAGGCGTCATAGGCAGGGTCACTTTCTTGAGGTCTTTTTATGGAACCATCAACAAACTTCAGTTTATTCTTTGACAGTAAGGCTCTCCTTAAGCTCCTGCTCCAGGAAGAGAATTATTTTCGTTAGCACTTGAGTGATAAGAGTGAGCCAGGATTTTATCCTGGGTGCAAATAGTAGGGGACTGGCAGGATTGGTTGCTGGTTCAAATTGTTCCATGGTGGAATAAAGAAACCACCAAGAGGGCCCAAGAAAAAAAACAAGAACGATCAGAGTGATGAACGGAAGCAGAGCAGGCACTTAGACCTGCTCTGATACCATATTAGAACAGGCCCAGCACTGTGCACTTGCAACGTTGGTGGCCCAATTCCTTTCCTGGCCCATATGGCATGTTAATCTGAAAGTGGGTTGCGTGCGTGGCATAACGCAGAAAAGAAATATCGAGAGAGAGAAAGATGAGACGGAGAGCGAGAGGCGATGAAGGTGGAAGGGAACGGCGACTCCCTCAACGGCGGCCTGAAGCGGTGGTGGCCGGAGCACCAGAAGAAGAAAATGTAGATCGGAAAACGGTAAGTAATGCAAACTGAATATTTCTTTATTCTGTTAAAAGTAATAAAGTCTGAATACATTGACGTTAAGGGAAAAAGGGGGAAGGAACCCTATATATAAAGGATTCCATGAAAGGGGAGAAAAACCGAACAGACACACAAAATAAGTTAACTGTTGAAAAACAGTTAAGAGAATCAACAGTGATTCTCAATAATCATTCTGGTCAACATGGTAAAATTTAATATATTGTTTTTTCTCACTCTTAAATACCAAGTAAAATTCTACATATATATATATATATGGACTCTAGTGTAACAATTATTTATTTGTGAAAAAGTCATTTGAAGAGATTTATGGAAAGACATATGTGTAGAAAATCATCCATGATTGATGAAACATATATACAAAATATAAAAGATAAGTCAGGTTTTCCCTTGCAAATGACAAGCTATGATTTTAACAAGCTATTAATTTAGCAAATCTTTAAGTAATTAATATTATAAAATATTCTCAAAATAATAACAATTTATTTGGCATAATAATATCTATCTACACATTTTATTAAACAATATTTTAACTTCTTTTCAATTAAAATGAATAAATCACTTCCTTCTCCGTGCATACTGGATATATAAACTCCATGTAAATCTCAATAGAAAATAATTTCTTTCACCATCTTAATTATAACTATGCCAAAATAAATAAATAAAATATTTATTAACAAATCGATTAGATATATATATTGATATTTATTTCCCATAAAATATGAGTTTAAAAAACTATGAAGTGACTAGTTTGGGTTTAGCAAAACCATCAAACACTAAGTACAAACTTGGGATGATCTGAAGAAATTAATTTTTATTAATAAGGTGGCATCACAGATAGACATATTTAAAGCAAAAAGGAATATATTATTAAATTAGAAAAATAGAAACAGCAATTTCATGCATTTAATAAAACAAAGTGACATAGAGTGACAGTCACTTTGGTCAGTGACTCCTAAAGATGCTAAATCTCATTTTCATTTCACACACTCACAACAAAACCTACCTATTTGGTCAATAAAGCCACCTTTTTGGCTGCCATGGACAACAATCAGACCCGATCCAGCTTTCCGTGTCTGAGCTCACAACTATATATATAATAACATCACTGTTCCCATTATCCAATATTTCCATTTACTATATATATATATAGCTATCATCAAAACCTCACAAATCTCTCATCACACTCTTCATTTTTTTTCTAAAATATATACGTACTAGCTTCGTTTGTTGATCAAAGACATCATACACTTGAACAGTTTTAAGCAATCATCTATCAAAATATGGGAAACTGTGTAAAACCTGCATCGTCAATGGAGTGGGACGGCGAGGACTGGAGCGATTTGAAGTCGAAGAAGGAATTTGGAAAAGGTGATGAGTTGAGTTTAGGAAAAGGGCAGAAGGAGAAGCTTATGCAAACGCTGAGAGTTTCTCCTGATGCGAGTGGGAAAGTGAAGATAAGGATATCAAAGAAGGAGTTGGCAGAACTTTTTGATAAACAACAACAGCAGAGAGCTTCTGCAGAACAAGTTCTGCTTCGCTTGATAAAAGCCAGAAATGATGATGCTGGTCACAGATTGTGGATGCCCATGCTAGAGAGTATTCCTGAGGCCACTTGATTAATTCCTCAAGGCTTGCATGAGAAGGTTTTTCTATACAGTGATTGTGTTGTATATAGAAAAATAATAGATAGAGATTGATAGGATTTGTGTTTCAGTTGGTTATCTCTGCTTCTGAATATAGGTACTTGTGTTTGAAACCATATCAAAGTTAAAAGTTTCCTTTTGGTGATGAAGCCGATTAAATTGTTAGTAATTAATCTAATTGTTTAATTTCTTATATTAGGTGTTAGAAATAGACTTTAAGTCTAACTAAATTTCATAAAATCAGTTTTTAGAGTGAGGATTATACCCAGTTATAAATTATGAATTGATCTTATATCTAGTCAATGTGGAACTTTCACGTATTAAAAATGAACTTTAAGCCTAACTTGTACGACGAGATTTGCATCCACTTGTACACTATGAATTGATTTTATCTTTAAACATTATGTGTAGAATATATTTTGTTTCGAAATCATTAACCTATGTTTACTATGAGAATAGTTCCAAGCATCTTTTTTTAGAAAAGGTGTTGAAAGTTCTACAAGTCAAATTATAATATATAAAAGAGAGTCCAAATCTCACTTTACAAGTCGATTTTGTGAGATTGAATTAGACTTAAAATTCACAATCGAGTAAAGTGAGTAAACAATTAATCTTTTTGTAACTAAGTCTTTTGAATAAATTCTATATAGAAAACTAAAATAAATCAATAATTGAGTCAAGTGTATAAAAACATATATATATATATATATATATATATATATATATATATATAGATAATAAAACTGAGAGAACATATATGTATTTATTTTTAATGCAGACGCAGCATTCATGAACAGCTTCATTTGGAGATAAGATAGCAGTAAAACAGAAATATATGACCTGGTCGACTTGGCACACTCGGGTTTTGGTGTTTGATATTATTATTATATGACGAAACTTTTGCAGTTTTGGTGTGTAGAGGGACTGCCGATTACTTATTCAATTAATAAATTAATTGTTAGCAAATCGTGAAACCCTCAACTTTAAAAGAATGGAAATAATTGCGTAAGTTTATCTCCATTTCTATTTGAATTAACAAAGCTTATTATTATACAAATACAACACTGTCAGTGATGTTGCAAACTTTGAAAACACTGTTGATGACAAAATATATAGATAAAATATTAACACAAAGCATAATTTATTTTGAAAACACATTATTATATATCAGTACAGATTTAATTTTTTTATATGGACAATATAGTTTACTTTTAAAATAAATATTTTAGAAGTAAAAAACATATAGAAAGACAAATACGCTTCCCCCATCTAATTTATTTTAACAATATGAAATCAAAACAAAAGCACACTAAATGAGAAAATCAAAATATAAAAGTTGAGGTTAGAATAATCAGATTTTATAGATTCGAATCTAATTAGACCAATTAAATATAATTCAAATTTATATTCGAACTTTTAATTTAATTAGTTAGTCAATTTGAGTGGTTTAGGTTAAGCATTAATTCAGTCCGATTGCAAATTTATACTAAATTAAAATTTTTAATGAAGAAATTATTTTTATTTTAAATAGGGTTAAATATGTTTTTAGTCCCTAAACTATTGGTCGTTTCTGGTTTTCGTCCCTCTTTCAAAATAAGATACAATTTGGTTCTCATTCTTTTAGAAACTTTGTTATATATATATATATAGATAGATAGATTACTACTTAAATTAAAATATATATTGGCCAAAGCCATTTGTTTATGTTAGTTTAAAATTAAAAGAATTACAATATTTGATTTAACAATATTTTTAAGATTTTATTAAACTAAACAAATATATATTCTTTTATTATGAAATATATATTTTTATTATACTAATGTCATTTTCTGAAATATGTTTTGGTATTTTAAAAACTGACGTCCAAAAAAAACCAATCTAAAACCATACAATATTCTGGGTGGAAGATGGGTCCAAGAGAGAGAAGGGGAGAAAAGGTGAGAAACACTAAAAAAAAGTCGTGTGTAAGTCTACCGTTAGCCACGTCATCACATTTTTAACGGTGTTAGTTTTCGAGGACTAAAACCAAAGTTTCGAAAAGAATGAGGACCAAATTGTACCTTATTTTGAAAGAGGGACGAAAACCAGAGACGACCAATAGTTTAGGGACTAAAAACATATTTAACCCTTTTAAATAAATGACATAAATATAGTGAATATTTAAATAAAAGATAAAAAGCAATCAACTATGATTTTATATAATTTATTACTACTAAAGTTTAATAAAATAATATCCTATTAAAAATAAAATTTAAAATTTTATTTTATTCTAATTTATAATTTACAAATTACCTTTGAAATTTTTTTAAAACAATATTTTTTAATATAATGTTTAAGATTATCATTTCTATTTAATAAAAAACTTTGTTTAGGTCATAAATACATTATTATTATTATTATTATTACTATATATTATAATAAAACATTTACATTTACATATTAATAAAACATTTACATTTTATTTATTATAATAAGGAAATTAAGAAATAACCATATGGAAACTATCACTCTGACGATAGCAAAAAATTATTAACCAACCACGTGTGGAGTTTTTGTTCTGCGCAAGGTTGGTGTTGGAAAGAAAGTCCAACAGAGATAGATCCAATCCAACACTCTTCACTTTCTTTTCTCTCTTTCTTTTGTCTTTTTCGTTTTTTGTTTTAAATAATATATTAAAGGCGACAACATTCGTTTCCTCGCCATAGCCACAAAAGTTACAGTTTTTGTCGTTCATTATATCCATCCCATTTCGCCCCCATAGCCCTAACCCATCTGTGAGTTTTCCATGCTTTCTTTTACGCTGCATTTTACAATTTTCCTTTTCTGCGATGTTCGAGAATCAAATTTATTTTTTTTATTTTTGCTACTCTGTAAATCTGTTCCGTTGCTATTTTAGGGGTTTGATCCAAGTTAGAACAACTGCTCCTGCATTCGCACTAGCTTACATGTTATTACACATGCATTATGAATACCTTGAATCCAACAACTATTTTCTACAATGTTATTTTAATTTCAGAGCGTATATAAGTTATTTAGAAATTGTAAAATTTAATAATTCTTGCGTATGAACCATTGCCATATTGATCTCATTTAAATGATAACATCGCTTAACAACTGTTAAAATATTGTGAGAATGTCTCTGCCCTTGAAGTTTTGAATTGTTTTGTCTGCTGCATAAGAAAACAATGTTTAACTTTTCCCATTAGGAAATTTGTTTGTTCAGGTGCTGAAATACTTACATTTTCTTTTCTTTCTTGTTTTTTTTTTCAAAGGAAGGAATTAGTGTTTCTGGGCAATCATACTTTTCTTTTAAATTCACTTGTTGATTTTATCCAGCATTACGATTAGGGAATGTTGGAAATCAGACATACTTTATTTGGTCAAAGAATAACATTTCTCTCTTTTTCAGATATATTTTCTAGAGAGAACTCTGTAATTGGCATTCTGGAAGATGAACCAACAGAATCATGGATTAGGTACTCCTTTAAATGTTCCAGTGAAACGAAAACGTGGTCGACCAAGAAAAGAAGGAAGTGCAGTTCAAGGGGAGAATGTAGCTGTAATTCCTGATTCTGACAATGTGTTGTACTCCAGCCAAACAACTGGTACAACTAATGATTGTGACGATGAAATGGTAGGGAAGTTAGTTAGTGGTGTCATTGAAGGAACTTTTAATGCTGGATATCTTCTTAATGTTAAGGTAGCAAACACTGATGCTGTTTTAAGAGGCCTAGTGTTTGTACCAGGTCACTTTTCACCTGTTTCTGTAGAAAACGACGTGGCTCCACATGTCAAAATGATCAAAAGGAAAGAGATTCATATTCCAGTTGTTAACCCACATGCAGAGATACATGGCTCTTCTGTTCCCTCATCGGTACAATTCAACAAACAACCTTTTGAGCCAGAATTACGGGTACCTGTGTCTGAAGAGCTAGTGCCACCAACTGATATTCATTCTAGCATCTCAGAAGTACCTGAGAATCAATCTGCCTCTACTTTGATAGCCATTTCAATTTCCAGTGGAGGAATTCCACAGGGGACATCTGAACCTAGACATGTGAATCAGTCCACGTCTATCATGTCAGAGTTTGATCATGACAAAACGATCAAACAAGATGAAACACTTCATGAACTTGATGCCTACACACAGGTAAAAGAATCTGATATGGATGGTGGAGAAACAAAAGACTCAGAAGCGGCATCTGAACTCATCAACCTGGTTCCATCAATTGACAACACCAATAAGGAGATCGGAACTGGACAGCAGGTTGTTCCTTGTGTACATCATCTGAATGAGGTGGTTCGTGGAGAACCAAATATATCAAATATTGAATTCAACCTGATCCCTCTATGTACTGAACCTGAAGTCTCGCCATCTGAACAAACTAGTAAAATTGTTAACTACTTCGAGGAGAAGCAGGAGTTGCCAAAAACTGATGTGCTAGAAGATACAAAGGCAGAGCTTGCAATTGAGACTTTAAGTAATGTTGACAGCTCAAATTCTAGTGGAAGACCGAATACTGATGTCGATATTCCTGTTGTGGGATCAAACCATGCACTTGTGGCCAGCGAACCTGAATCCATGCCATCTGAAGGGATTGGTAAATTTGTTCCTTCTGAGTCCAAATTTTCATATGAAGGACATGATTTGTGGGGGAGGAGTGGTCCCCAGAACCATAGCTCTTTTGGAGACATTAATACAGTGGATTTCAATCAACCTACTGAAGCTTTAGCTAATCCAATGGAATATGACAAACAGATTGGATCAGGCACTTGAAAATTTTAGCTGGAAAATATGGAGAAGGTTGTCTAGCATAGTTGGAAATTAGGCTGGAAAATAAATCGGGTCTGTAGACATGTAGATCTATAGTTTCAAGTCTTAATCTTTTTTGAGTCACAATCTCTGCTTTACTTTCTGTTTTTGCTGCCACATTTCCTAATAAATGAGTTTCCTTTTCAACATTGTTTTTGGTCTGTCTTTACGTAATCTTACCATTTGTTTTTAGTTTAATCTTGTTACTGAGCTCTTGGTATGCGAAGAAATATAACTTGTTGCCAGTTGGTCCTGCAAATTATGAACTCTTCACTTGTATGAATATCAACAATTGGGTCAGTGTTTGGCTAAAAGTAGCATTGTTTATGGAGATACTTTTGGTAAGAACAAAGAGAAAGTGAGTATGAAAACAAATATTCTAATTTATAACTTTGAGGTTCTGCTATGGACAAAAAAATTACGGGTGAAACTTTGTAAAGCGATATCCTGTACCTCAACAGAGGCAAGAGAAATATGCATTGTCATTAAAAATACTCGCTATTTCGCGAAGGACAAATGTAAAAATTCTTCAAAAAACATCAGCTTAAATTTATGTCAATCAACTTTTCTATCAATGTAAATTCACCAAAAATACTTCATTGGAACTTATAAAATGACACCTTGCACCGAGAACAAACACTACAAAAGCGTTTAGATTTCGGTTAATAAATTAGGGTAGATTAACCTCAACAGAAAAAAAAATACCATTAATTGGAAATATGTATCAATTATATTTACGCAGATTTCAATGAGAACCAAATTAATTTAAATGTTTCAACTAAAATCCAAATACACTACCAACGAACGTAAAACACGAGACTAATTATCTGTTTTTCAAAGGTTGAGCAATACATTTAATTTTCATTAGAATACTACTATCATTTGACAAAACTCAACCTGTTTTCATTGTGAAGTATCATCCAAAATAATAAATTCAGGTGATCTCTAAAATATTAATCATTTATTAAAATATTTAATTATTTAATTTCAATAACATTCAACACAAACTATTTTTCATAATTTGTAAGATCGCTTCGGTGATTTTTTTAATGCAAAAAAGTTAAATTGAAGACCAAAATTCATTTTGTCAATAGATGCAACTAGATGACATGTAATATGTTCAGAAATGCAACATTCCTTCCACCATGTTATCAAATTGTTAGCATTTATCATTTTTTATGTTATTTAAAAATTCATTACACACTGCATCTCTCTTTCACGCCAGAGCAAGCTCAATACGCGACAATGCATCGTACGCTACATACACAATATGCCACCCGCTTAATATTCTGTATTACAAATAATTAATAGGAGTATCAAATGTGGAAGGGTTCACCAGATGCATAAACATCAAGGTACTCAGCAAGCAATATTTAATGGGTACAAAATAAAAGTTCGCATAGAATGTTTAATGCTAATAGCAATGATAGGAAGGTAAAAGATGAGCCAAGTTTGTTCTCAATGAGACAATTAGAGTAAGAACCAAAACGAGTATCATAGATAGGATAGGATTACAGAAGAAAACGGAAAATTGGGGCAGAACTTGCTTAGCTATATCCTATTTGCTGTTGTTGCTGAGGAGGTTGGTAATTTGCGTAGCCCGGATAACTGCCATACATATTGGGATCTTGTCCAGCAGGAGCATAACCATAATTTTCATAACCCTGCGCAGCATATCCATAGTAACCACCACTGCCATTCCACTGATTTGCATCTGGTTGGGCCTGAGTCATCCACGAAAACCAAAATTCATTATAAAAATCAATTAACAAGGATAAAGCATAACAGAATGACCACAGTTCAGTAACATTGCTTACCTGTTTGTTTGAAGGACTTCGGCCCCATGAAAGCCGAACATTTTGTCCACCCNAGGGAAGTTAGTTAGTGGTGTCATTGAAGGAACTTTTAATGCTGGATATCTTCTTAATGTTAAGGTAGCAAACACTGATGCTGTTTTAAGAGGCCTAGTGTTTGTACCAGGTCACTTTTCACCTGTTTCTGTAGAAAACGACGTGGCTCCACATGTCAAAATGATCAAAAGGAAAGAGATTCATATTCCAGTTGTTAACCCACATGCAGAGATACATGGCTCTTCTGTTCCCTCATCGGTACAATTCAACAAACAACCTTTTGAGCCAGAATTACGGGTACCTGTGTCTGAAGAGCTAGTGCCACCAACTGATATTCATTCTAGCATCTCAGAAGTACCTGAGAATCAATCTGCCTCTACTTTGATAGCCATTTCAATTTCCAGTGGAGGAATTCCACAGGGGACATCTGAACCTAGACATGTGAATCAGTCCACGTCTATCATGTCAGAGTTTGATCATGACAAAACGATCAAACAAGATGAAACACTTCATGAACTTGATGCCTACACACAGGTAAAAGAATCTGATATGGATGGTGGAGAAACAAAAGACTCAGAAGCGGCATCTGAACTCATCAACCTGGTTCCATCAATTGACAACACCAATAAGGAGATCGGAACTGGACAGCAGGTTGTTCCTTGTGTACATCATCTGAATGAGGTGGTTCGTGGAGAACCAAATATATCAAATATTGAATTCAACCTGATCCCTCTATGTACTGAACCTGAAGTCTCGCCATCTGAACAAACTAGTAAAATTGTTAACTACTTCGAGGAGAAGCAGGAGTTGCCAAAAACTGATGTGCTAGAAGATACAAAGGCAGAGCTTGCAATTGAGACTTTAAGTAATGTTGACAGCTCAAATTCTAGTGGAAGACCGAATACTGATGTCGATATTCCTGTTGTGGGATCAAACCATGCACTTGTGGCCAGCGAACCTGAATCCATGCCATCTGAAGGGATTGGTAAATTTGTTCCTTCTGAGTCCAAATTTTCATATGAAGGACATGATTTGTGGGGGAGGAGTGGTCCCCAGAACCATAGCTCTTTTGGAGACATTAATACAGTGGATTTCAATCAACCTACTGAAGCTTTAGCTAATCCAATGGAATATGACAAACAGATTGGATCAGGCACTTGAAAATTTTAGCTGGAAAATATGGAGAAGGTTGTCTAGCATAGTTGGAAATTAGGCTGGAAAATAAATCGGGTCTGTAGACATGTAGATCTATAGTTTCAAGTCTTAATCTTTTTTGAGTCACAATCTCTGCTTTACTTTCTGTTTTTGCTGCCACATTTCCTAATAAATGAGTTTCCTTTTCAACATTGTTTTTGGTCTGTCTTTACGTAATCTTACCATTTGTTTTTAGTTTAATATTGTTACTGAGCTCTTGGTATGAGAAGAAATATAACTTGTTGCCAGTTGGTCCTGCAAATTATGAACTCTTCACTTGTATGAATATCAACAATTGGGTCAGTGTTTGGCTAAAAGTAGCATTGTTTATGGAGATACTTTTGGTAAGAACAAAGAGAAAGTGAGTATGAAAACAAATATTCTAATTTATAACTTTGAGGTTCTGCTATGGACAAAAAAAATACAGGTGAAACTTTGTAAAGCGATATCCTGTACCTCAACAGAGGCAAGAGAAATATGCATTGTCATTAAAAATACTCGCTATTTCGCGAAGGACAAATGTAAAAATTCTTCAAAAAACATCAGCTTAAATTTATGTCAATCAACTTTTCTATCAATGTAAATTCACCAAAAATACTTCATTGGAACTTATAAAATGACACCTTGCACCGAGAACAAACACTACAAAAGCGTTTAGATTTCGGTTAATAAATTAGGGTAGATTAACCTCAACAGAAAAAAAAATACCATTAATTGGAAATATGTATCAATTATATTTACGCAGATTTCAATGAGAACCAAATTAATTTAAATGTTTCAACTAAAATCCAAATACACTACCAACGAACGTAAAACACGAGACTAATTATCTGTTTTTCAAAGGTTGAGCAATACATTTAATTTTCATTAGAATACTACTATCATTTGACAAAACTCAACCTGTTTTCATTGTGAAGTATCATCCAAAATAATAAATTCAGGTGATCTCTAAAATATTAATCATATATTAAAATATTTAATTATTTAATTTCAATAACATTCAACACAAACTATTTTTCATAATTTGTAAGATCGCTTCGGTGATTTTTTTAATGCAAAAAAGTTAAATTGAAGACCAAAATTCATTTTGTCAATAGATGCAACTAGATGACATGTAATATGTTCAGAAATGCAACATTCCTTCCACCATGTTATCAAATTGTTAGCATTTATCATTTTTTATGTTATTTAAAAATTCATTACACACTGCATCTCTCTTTCACGCCAGAGCAAGCTCAATACGCGACAATGCATCGTACGCTACATACACAATATGCCACCCGCTTAATATTCTGTATTACAAATAATTAATAGGAGTATCAAATGTGGAAGGGTTCACCAGATGCATAAACATCAAGGTACTCAGCAAGCAATATTTAATGGGTACAAAATAAAAGTTCGCATAGAATGTTTAATGCTAATAGCAATGATAGGAAGGTAAAAGATGAGCCAAGTTTGTTCTCAATGAGACAATTAGAGTAAGAACCAAAACGAGTATCATAGATAGGATAGGATTACAGAAGAAAACGGAAAATTGGGGCAGAACTTGCTTAGCTATATCCTATTTGCTGTTGTTGCTGAGGAGGTTGGTAATTTGCGTAGCCCGGATAACTGCCATACATATTGGGATCTTGTCCAGCAGGAGCATAACCATAATTTTCATAACCCTGCGCAGCATATCCATAGTAACCACCACTGCCATTCCACTGATTTGCATCTGGTTGGGCCTGAGTCATCCACGAAAACCAAAATTCATTATAAAAATCAATTAACAAGGATAAAGCATAACAGAATGACCACAGTTCAGTAACATTGCTTACCTGTTTGTTTGAAGGACTTCGGCCCCATGAAAGCCGAACATTTTGTCCACCCAAAAGTGTGCCGTTTAAAACCCGCAAAGCTTCTTCTGCACAGCTCCTGGTGCATAAACATGAAAAATCACGGCACAATCAGATGACACTGCATTTAGACAAGTTAACAAGATATATATAAATTACTTCAATGATTAAATTACCTGTCAGCAAATTGGACAAATCCACATCTCTTGCCAGCTGGAATCTTCACGTGAACTAACTCTCCATACTGCCCAAAAACTTGTCTCAAATGGTCATCGGTAACATTAGGATCCAAATTGCCGACAAAAATCTGCAATTAAACTAAGGTCATGAACAAGAACAAAGAAGAGCAGTTTCTATATTGCAAAGAAGTACGCACAGTTGTATTATTTGGATCATGCTCGTTCTGTGCCCCTTGAGGATTCTGATATGATGCTGCATGTTCAAAGTACAAGTAAAAAGATGGGTAACATTATTAAACAAAAATTCTGGAAGCAGTCCGCGGAAAAAGACACCAAAAAAAGATAAAGACAAAATACTTTGAGTTTTCAAAGACAAAAGGCACATCCTTTTTATGGAGGTACGAATTTTCAACATAATGTTGATACATTCAGGATGAAATTTCAAATATCCCATACTCAACTCTATACGATTCATTCGATAAACATGCAATTATATATACCAATTCCACAAGCAACAAATTACAGGTGCCTTAGCATGCACCACAAACTTTCGCCACACTACACTATTAGAAATGCACCATCATTCAGAAGCACAAAATCTACCTCATTTTCAATTAACAAGTACATGTACAGGGGAAAATAGCAATTTGAGAAGCAAATAACATGCCCAGAACCATAAATATTAAAATATGGAAAAACTATTCAATGACATAAATATGATCAGAAATTAAAAAAAAAACCATGGATTCAGATAATTTCATGAGAAAATTCATCAGAAAGGGTTACAATGCAAAGGGAATGTAGAAAATGATGAAGTTTCCCTCCCTCTCTCTAACTATCCAAATATGATAAAACATTCTGACATGAACAAAATCTGACATTGAACTAAATCATGGATTCAAATAATTCCATGAGAAAATTCAACATAAATACTTGTCAATACACTGCAACGGTAAAACTATTGGCCTTACAGAATGCAAATACTACGGACAATGTGACAAACAAAATGGACACCAGTCTCTCTCAATGAGAATGTCTCCCTATCTATCCATCTATACATACATACATACATATATTATATATACACATATAGTTTCTTGTAAAAATGATAGTATTTAAGATACACACACATCGTGGTTTGTCATATAAACTAAAATAAGAATGAACTAGGAAGCTGTCAAATGCTTGTTACACAATATAGAAAACTTCACAAGTCATTTAACATTTTAATATATATATATATATATATATATATATATATATAGTTTCTTGTAAAAATTATAGTATTTAAGATACACACATATCGTGGTTTTCCATATAAACTAAAATAAGAATAAACTAGGAAGCTGTCAAATGCTTGTTACTACACAATATAGAAAACTTCACAGGTCATTTAACATTTTGACATTTTAATAGATTGGTTCCCAAAGAATTAAGTAATAGAGTAAATTATAACTTCAACTCCAATGGGTCTTCCAAAAGGACTAAGCAATATAGAGTAAATTATAACTTTAATAGCATATGTGCTGAGAAATTTAGAAAGAATGGCGACAGACCTTGCCTTGTGACAACAAAAAATGGAAAACCATCTGGCAGAGTGCATTTCTACAAAACCAAAGCACTAACCACCGTATCCCAAGGTATTCCTTGTGAACTAGGTTGGAAACTTGAATTAATAGCGACAGATAGATGAAGAAAAGAAAGTAGAAAGTACAAAAGACTTCCTAAAGAAGGGAAAGCTAAAACAGAAACTCAAAGATACAGTTCTTTAAGTAATGTCAAAGGAGTAAAGCTAAAGGAACAAGGAGCAAGAATGGAGGACGGATATGAAAGTAATTTGAATAGTTGCATAAGTAATTTGGCTAAAAAAGCCAAGCAACAAAATGAAAAGAAAAGAAAATATACGTAATTAGAGGCAGAAAAGAAAATGCCACAAAAAATAATGGGCAATACATAAACAGATAACTGACCTACACAAGGCCATGGACTAAAATGGTAACCATTTCAGCTGAAATCAGTTCCAGGCTCCGAGATGACAGAGCCTCTTAGCACCCTGCTTTGAGACAATGGGAGTTCTATAAGATTTTATTATTTAATATCATTTACTTAGCCCAAATTTTTAAAGGAAATTACAGGAAGAAATGTGTTTGGACTGCAATTCTTCAAGAGTGTAACTGAAAAGAAATGTAAATTAAAACATCTGGGATACACACAAACTAGATAACTAAAGAATTAAAGAACTGAATCCAACCAGTAGTATAAATGTATCAATATTCAATAACAGACCAAAAGTATGCATCTGAAAGAAAAACAGATCTAAATTATATTTAAGCAACACATTGGCAGATATTTGCATCAAAATGACAAGTACAAGACAACTATGAAAGAGACATACCTTTTGGCTGGGACTGGGTGCTAGGATTTTTATTAGAGGCAGGTCCAATTCGCATGGGTCTTGTTGAACAAAGAACCCCTTGCATTTCAGTCATAGCCCTAACCTGTTCACTCTCATCTCCAAACCTAACAAAACCATAACCCTTTGTACGACCAGTAAGCCTATCAATTACAACTTTGGCACCCTTAACGGAGGGATACCGAGCCCGAAATGTCTCTTGCAGAAGATAATCTGTAACATCTGCAGCCAGGTCTCCAACAAATATAGTGTGATCCGGGCTGTCATCATGACGCCTGTCCCCTGCACTAAACGAAGCCCAGTTCAATCTGAAGTTCTGACCACCATTTGGCATAATGGTTCCGTTGTATGTTTGAAGGATTCTCTCCGCACCAGCACGACTGGTAAATTCAATAAACCCATATCCCTCCGATTGACTAGTTTGTTTGTTCCGAATGACTTTAACCGAAGCCACCTGCAAGCAAATACCATATTTCAGTAACCAACATTCAGAATCACCTTGAAACACCAACAAGCTTCTAAACATTAGTTTTACTTGCTTACATGCAATAACATT